GTTTTAATATTTGACCTGTCAATGACCTATCAGAGCTAATTTAGGGAAAATTGGTCAATTCTTTGTCTCTTGTCAATCAAGATTGTTACATTTTATGTAACGGTTTCTATTAACGTAGTTAATTTTATTAACATAGTTAATAGAAACCGTAAAAATTTGTTATATGTTTTTTTATTCTCTAAAAACTTATAAGCTTCCCTGATCTTATAATACTACATAAGAGCAGTAAAAAAATTATTTTAAAAGGAATTTTAAAAAAGATGGCCTCAGTTCTGTCAGACTGCTTCAGGGTAGCTGTGGTAACCACCATCAGTGTGTGAATGTGTGTGTGAATGGATGAATGACTGAAGGAATCGTGAAACACTTTGGTGTTCTTTGGACTCGTTAAAGCGCAATATTTTCATCTTTCAGATGCATCTGTATAATCAACATTTCAATGAGTCAAGACTTGTTGTGTTTCTAATCATTAGGCGGCATAAAAAAACAACTCTGAGAACTCAGAGCTATATTTTGTTATCAGCTATGCACTTTACAAACTGTATCTAGTTCTGCTCTGACTGATGTGCTGGCCAGGCCAATCTGTCACCTTGTCCTATTTCCAGCTTGTCAAGTGATATCTGTAAAATTTTCCACTCTATGCACAAAAATGATGCAACCATGAAACTGCGGAGCCTTTCCACAAATCAAAATGAAACCTCTGCCCATCAACATGTTAATCTCGAATAAGTATGGAAATATGGCTCGTGCTAAAAGAAATTCCTACAACAGTCATTTAATGTGGCCTATACATTGACTCACATCCAGGGAGAGCACAAAAACATGCAGAGTAGGTTACATCCTTCGTAGGGAGATATTATGTAAGACTAAAAGGTACCACTCTAGGTCAGCACCAGCTGTCTTCTCAACAGTATTTAATAGTTTTTGCATACGGACCATATAATATTTGATCTTAAATAGTTTACGTCCACACGTTGAGTCTTAAGAGTGCCATGCAGCTGTGCACCGGGAGGCCGTCCATTAAAAGTTAATGGATTCACTTTCACAAAAGGACCTTAAAGCCACAGTTCTCAGCGCTCAGTCTCTGTGGTAAAAATAGAAATGCTGCAGAACGGACGGATGCAATTCACAGCCTTCCAAATATCTGTCGCACAACCTGGCTGCCTGTAGTAGGCCTAGTTTTTCCAGAAAATGAGGGAGCAACTGGCACAAATTCCCTCAGCTTTCCCAGACACAGTGATTAAATCTCTTGCACTTATAATTATTATTGTCCCCACATCACTGCCTGGATGCTGTCATATCACAGCAAAACCAAGCATTGTGTAAGGGGTGGCACAGTGATTACCCTTAATCTGGACTGGGAGAAAAAAATGAAATGGTTTGGCATGCAACATGAGCAATTATCTGAGAAATACCTCTGGTTCTGCGCAGTAGTTGCAATTTATTGCTGCCCCAATCAAGGCTGACGTTAATGAAGGATCTGTTTACTTAATGAAATCTTCCTCTGTGTAGCAAGAAAACATTAACAGATCTGATGACCGGTTTGCATGAGACTGACTCTCGCAGACAATGTATTTATGCATGCATGCAATTCTATGGAGCAAACTGGGCCACAGAGAGTGGACACCAACACAGTACAACGCCTATTTTGTGTTTCATTTTCCAGATAGTCAAATAAGGTCCACACACTCCAGTGAATTTAATAAGGAAGGCGGAAAGAAATTCAAGTGAAAATATTTTTTGTTATATAATGCTGTGGATATTTGGTTTATTTATCTCTCCAAAAGCTGACAATGGAGGTTGCTTTTTTTTTTTTTGTAAAAGATTTTGTTAAAGAGCCATATTCTTTAACTGTCCTGCTTATTTGTTCTTTTTGTTTGAGAATAATTATTTTACAATCTGCTGCAGTGATTTATTGGTACAAATGAAATAATATTTGCAAATTTAATCCTCCAACCTTCTCAAACTTGTCATCAAAATCTGTCTCATGAGGTCTTGCATGAGACAGATTTTTTCCCCATGCTGCTAAGCAAAGCGGAGCGGCATTATAATACTGTATTTAGAGTAATTGTCTCCCCTTTCCCTGCCTTATTTTTTTTCTGTGACAGCTTGTGACACTGTTTGTCAACATGTGGGAGTAGCAGCTCAGTTAGAGACAGATGATTTTTAGACTGGTATAAAAATCGACAGGAAATAAATTCCAACTGGAGAGTTGCTATTAAAACTTTTCAAAAATTATGAGCAGTCCACTTTCATTTCATGAATGGCTGCTGATTTGTGTGGCCCAGCGGGTGGTGTGATTCAACAGAATTATAAGTAAGGACATGCTGTATCAGAGGACAGGCTGAACACCCAACAGCATGTTGCTGACATTCCTCATATCAAGTCTTCCATGTTTTCGCCATGATTAATGCACAGTGAACTTTTGGTGTTCATAAAAATCTGCCCTTTGCATCTTGGAGTGTCTGTCAGTCAAACATTTTGAGCCCAAATTCTTCTCTTTTTGATAAAGAGAAGAATTATTAGACGCACCAACAAATGGAATGAATTTGTAGAATTTTGTTATGCAAAGTATTTACAACCTTTCCAACAACAACACACAAGGAAGGTTCTCTGGAAAGAAAACAACAACAACAAAAAAAAGTTGGATCACTTTTACAGTTCAACCACATCTAAGCTAGTCTACTCAAGAACTAGCATGTTTTCAAACAGGTAAATATCACAATCTCAGTTCCCAACAAGCATTTTCATACTGTGATAAATACATTATACTGTCAGATAAAAGCATAAGCTTTTATATTTTATAGAAGGATTGCATGTAATAGACAGATTGTGCATAATTATAATGTGAAAGAAATAGTGTGTGTGGTTTCCAATCTTCACTGCATTGTTTGTTCACTAACGCTCTTCAAAAAAACTTCTGAAGCCTTCATAGAGCAACTGGTTTTATTCTAAGTTACATGTCACACAGATGGACTCTGTTTCTGATGCACTGGATTTAATTTTGGGCCATCTGAGTAAAGGGGGATGCAGCCCACACTTTTCAGATTTTTATTTGGAAAATAAATAAATAAATTCCCTCCACTTCACAATTATGTGGTATTTTTGTGTTACTTGATCTATTAAAATTTATAGTTAACAATTTTTGTGAAAAGTTTGAAAGGGTAGGCTATAAATAATTCTGCTTGGCATTGGAAATAGATAAAGACTTGTTTCTTCTGTGTATTTCTATTCAACTTGTCAACCATGCCCACTCAATTCAAGAAATAACCTGAGGAGGAGAAAAAAAAAAGTCAAAACTCGTTAAATTTTTCCTGAACTTTCTGTTGTCGGCGACACAAATCAAACGTAGTAACTCTGGCCTTGTTGTGGAGGAGCGTGAAATGAAAGTAATGGCTTAACGCTGTTGAAATCAAATCCTCTTTAGAAACGTTTCACACGGGCGTCCTCAACACAAGACAAATCACTTTCCCTCAGCGGACACTGAGCATTTCTGCCACGGTCAGATCTGTGTCCTTACCGTTTTGAGCCGAGGCAAAGGGCAGCATCAAGTTGCCCAGAAGGACCACCGCCAGCATCACCTCGTTAGGATGCATCGTTAGGGCTCGATAAGGGTCTCTCGGTCGGACGAATGTGGGAGGAGAGATGGTGTAGGCTTATTGATCACGAGATCTAAAAAGATGGGCCCAGCATTGCACCGGGTTCTTTAAAAGCAGCCAGCCGAGGTGATTTTCTTTTTCTTTTTCTTTTTTTTTTATCCCGTGGAGATGTCTCCCTGATTCAAACACCTTTTGGAGGGCAGCCGTGGGTGAAAGGTCCGGGACGAGGCCAGCCGAGCTGATCTGCAGCCATAGGCGGCGAAGAAGCCTCGCTGGGATTGCGGGGAAGATGTCTTTGGATGTCAGAGAGATTGTCCACGGCGAGGATCCAAAGATTCAGAGATGCGCACACCGATGCGCATTTACGCTCCCACCGGTCACGGTTCGGTGATTAAGATGAAAGTAGCGCGCAAGCGATTCCCGACGGCGAGTGATGAAGCCGAAACATAAGTCTGTTATCAGCGCCGGTCTATTTTTAATACCAACGGAGGAACAGATGCTGGTAGGGAACCAACGGCAGCGACGGAAAGCCGCGCGTGCCCAGTGCGCTCATGACTGGGGATGAACACACACACACACACACGCGCGCGCGCGCGCACACACCAGCGACACGCGCCCTGCATGGCGCACGCAAAGGCAAATGATGTTGTTTGTGAACTCCGACAGTTTTATGCTTTTGTAATTTTTCTTCTGTTTTACATTTTATTTGATTAATTTCAGGTGACAGGATGTCTATCTCACTTTTTAAACTTCTATTTATTTTGACCCTATTTTGTTGCAATTTACATACATGTTCTGAATAAAAGGCAACACATGCAGATGTGTAAGATAAACCAACTACAGAGCCTTAAAAATAATATCAAGAAAGTAAATATAGAATCAGTATTTGCTGAAGTCTGATTCAAACTTTTTTTAAATCATATTCAGTCTTTTTTTTTTTTGATGAGGTTGTGAAGATACTCTTCAGCTCCCCGATTGGGTCATTTGTAAATTATTTAATAATTTACCTGGGTCTTCTCAAAAAATGCATTCTAATTTCCTCTTCAAAATTAACATGGCTTCCTGTAATCCTCCTCAATCCCTAATCTGTGCTGCTGCACGAGCGACCTCACGTGGCCAGTTAGAATAAACACCAGCAATTGTCCCTTATTGCAGTGTGTGGTCACGACTGTTCTAATCTGTTTCAGTAAACACACTGGAAGCATTTGAATACATAATCTATTCATAACCCAATAATTTTATAGCATAGTTCCGGTGTTATTCGTCATCATTTTATATGACTTTTATATGACTTGAATAATCTTGTAGTAAACCTTCCAATGTTTTCCCTTTTGCATGAAATAAATTCAATTCTTATGTTTTGTACATTTTGAAGCTCTATTTAAATATTTATTTTAGCTTAAATGTTTGCTTCTAAGTAAACAATCACACCTATCAGATGTTTATTTACCAGACTGTTGTAAAGTGCATGTGTGTACTCTACTGCAGAACAAACTTCCCTCCTCTTTACAGCCCGCCCTTCAATACTCTATAGGAGACCACATTTAAAATTAAACCCCTCCTGAAATCTCCCAGAGACCAATCCACTAGAGAAAGGTCAGCGCCGATGGCACACCCTCCGTTGTTCAAAGCCAATCAGAGTGGAAGGGCAGCATTTTGCCTGAGGGTAAAACTTACCCCTGGATGTGTTAATTACGCATCACTAAGCTGTTGCCAATGTGTTCACAACCGTGGACTATCTTTTGGGCTTTTTGCAGCAGTTGTCTTCATTCTTTAGTCAGTTTAGTATGGAAAGTAGACAACAATGGCTTACCAGGCTGAAAAATGAACTTAGCAACAGTCCGCTGGTATCCAATGTGGCTTTTGGGTTCATCCTCATGGGACTAGAGAAGCTCGTGGAGCTGGAGTTTGAGTGTCCTTGCAATCCTACGTGGAATGGAGCATTTTCATCAGCATTCTTCATCATTCCTGCTGTCATGGCTTTTACCTTGATGCAGATCATCCAGGGATGCAGGTGCAACATGTGGTGCAGGAAAATGGTTTCCCTCTCAAGTTTCGTTCCTGCTGTCGTTTGGCTGATCTTGTTGTTCCTGGATGGCCAGTACTTTGCCTGTGCTATGACAGACTGGGATGGGAGATTTGTCCTTGTTGACAAGGCAGCTCCGCAGAAGTGGTGTGAGCCAGTTACAGAGGGAGATGTCACCCCGCAAGAATTAATGCTCCGCTCACAGCAGTTGTTTGTGTTTTCTCAGGTGAGTGGGATATGGCCAGTTGGCAGCATATTCACCATGTCAGATATACTTGTTATCAAACGATGGAAGCTCTTTCCTGTATGCGTTGACTAATCTTAGTCTCCTCTGTCCAGGTAATAGGAATAATCCTCCTCATTTTCATCTGTGTGGGTCTGGTAGTGTATGTAATCAGAGAAAGCTGCCAACAGGAGGTGCAGATGCAAGATTCAGATGTGGCTGAGCTCACCATGCTCAGGATGAGCTCTCTACGGACCAGAACATCATGAGTGGACCTACCCTGTCCTACACAGACATTTTGTATTTACCACAAAAAGACTTGACAGGAGTTTTTCAATCTCCCCAAGGATATTTTGGGGCATTTAAAGATATTTGAAAATTCTCCATCAGGTCATATAATGTAAGTGTTTCGACATTTACCAACTGGACTTCTCCTTGTCTTTTGTTTTTTTCTTGAAAAATTCCTCAAAAGTAAATGATCACTGGTGTCACCATGTACACTGTTCAAATAAATATTGTGTGTTTTTTGTATACATATTGAGGAATAAGTATATATAAATGTCCCATCTTGGTGCTTCCTCACTTGGGTTACCAGTGCAGCAATTTCATTCCTAATCGAGGTGTGTGGGTTAATATTTTTTCTGCTATTTTCTATTTGTTTTGTTTTATTGCTGTAGTTGAGATGAAACTAAATATGTTTGATCAGGTAAAAAATACAGAATAATAACGAATTGATCTAATTTCAGTGCCTTGCAAAAGTATTCGTACCCAGTAAACATTTTTACATTTTGTCACAAAGTGACTGCAACATTCAGTGTATTTCCTTTGGATTTTATACAATAGAACAAAACAAAGTAGTTTTGTTTTGTTCATTTCTTAACAAAGCTTCTTTGTTAAGAAAGTAACAAAGTAGCTTTCTTAACATTATAAATATGTATTTCCTTCACATTTAGAAGGAAATCCACTTCCTTCTAAAGGGACAGAAGGGAGAGAAAAAACAAAAACAAAAATTTGAGAAGTTGACTGCACATTTGTATTCAGCTGACCTGATTGTTTCACATCTAGACTTAACTGCATCACTGTTTCTGCTAGAAAAAAACGTCTTCCAACAGAATGATGATGTCATATTCAACAGTTTTGGATATTGTTATATCACCGAGCCCTCTCCAAGCTAACTTGTCTTGTGTGGTAATTGGTCTTCCTCATTGTTGTTCTCTGACCAACCTCTGAGGTCTTTACAGAACTTACACTGAAATTAAGTTTCTCAAAGTCAGATTCTAATAAAGGCCACATCTCAGGTGACCTGAGGTGGATTTTTTTCAGGGAATATAGTATTTGAGGTTCAATACAAATGCATACCACGCTTCAAATAGTTTTTTATTTATTTATTGTTTACTTTATTTACTCATAAATCTGGCATCCTTATTCACTTTACATCGTTGTGGTAGTCCATGTTGACACAGAAAAATAAAATTCAGTACAATAATTGAAGTTTATAGTTGTGAGTTCCGAAGCACAATTACAAGTGCCTTTGCAAAGCACTGTAATTATAAATCACAGAAAATGTTGGAAATTAGGTTTGTTAAAAACAATAACTGGTTTGTCTGTATACCCGCCCGCCAATAAGTTTGTTTTCTTAAACTGGTTCCTGGTTATAAGCATGAATAAAGTGAGAATAAATATTAAACTTTTCAACAAATAATTTTATATATAGTGATACATATTGACATATGTATATTTAAGATATTGATATATATCAGTTGTCAACAGAGATTGCTTTGTATCATTTCATAAACCTTTCCCCATACATTTAATCTGTATATTTTAATTCACTGTTTTTTGTTTGATTTGTTAACTATATTAGGTATGTCATAAGGTATGTCTGCCAGGCAGCTAATAATGGTTTGTCCTTTATTATTCTTTTATGCTAAAAAAATAATAAAAATGTTCCTCTAAATTGAAATTCATGTTCTACATATTACCTCTTCAAGCTTTGAGACACCATTCCAAGTATCCCCAGCAACAGTTGTAATTGATATAAAATTTGTATTATGTCAAACAGGCAAAAATAACTAATTTCTTAAGTGATGGTTGAATTTTCTCTTTATTTTTAGTATTAGAATGATTTTCCTAAAGAGGTAAAGTCATCAAATGTTTCAGACAGTTATAGTTTGAATATAATTAAAATTTTTCCTTATAGAAAAACTGTTTTCATGGAGTATGTCTAAAAGTTTAAACTTTTATGTAGCAATAGTGTAATTGTTTCCCTCATATTTCCAGAGTGCTTGAACAAATTGAAATAAGTGTTGTATCAATAGTGAAATTAAGAATGCTATTGTTTGGAAGGTCACTTGTGCCTTCATTTAGCTGAAATTCTGTTGTTCTAATTATTTAGATTCCTCAGATGCATCACTTTTTGCAACAAAGCAAAGAACAATAACAAGTGAAGTCACAAGTTCCATGAAATAAGTAGCAAACAGTCAAACCAGCTTTAAATTTGTAACTCGTAGATTGTGCTTCATTTGCTTTGTTGGTTGACGTTTGCAGATTAGAGGTCATCTGTGGCCTTGCAGAAGTTGTTTTTAGACATTCTGTTGCCTTCACCTTTTGACACAGAGGGGGATTTTAGTTTTTGGCAAATAAGCATAATGCCACAAAAGCGAACGCACGGTTTCAATGAGAGATTGTGTTCACTCTTGTTTTGTTGGACTATTCTATTACTGAAAAATTACCTACAGACTCACTTTTATGGATTTAAATGCTATATTCTGCTTCATTGAGTTACAGCCTTACAATCTCTTGCAAATTTTCAGCTCACTGGAAAAGTAAGAACATTGTGTATGTTTGTTTTCACATACTAGATTATTTTCTTTTGATTTTAAGACATGTCATGAGCTAGAATTCCTTTACCCAACACTTTATATTTTACTAATGTTGGTGTTTTAATTGGCAGAGTTGTCTGCATTGCCATGGGGCAATGCAGACAACACTACTTATGAGCATGGGTTTTGGACTGCTCATATAAACAGTCATTTCCTCTAAGATGAAATACATTTTGTAGCAATACCAAAAGTGTGTAAAAATGTATAAACAGTGTTCAACTGCAACTTAGTATAGTTGAACGTGCTGTATAAACCATAATCAATATTTGTAAAGTTAACCCAGCAGGATACAAAAATTAACTAGACAACTAAGAAAAAAAAAACCCAAAGATTTAAGTGTCGGGAAAAAAAACAGAAGCAGTGAAGATGTTCTCTCAAGATTCTTTATTCAAAAGATAGTTCAGATAAAGAGACTAATGTTACCAGAAATGTTGTTTCCCCAACTCATTCAAATAATTTCAGTTTCACAAAAACACAAATAATCTAGCCTACGGTATACAATGTACAAACCTAAACCTTTACATAAATCTCTTGGTTCCCATTTGATCACATTTCTTTTCTTTTCAATCTCATTTCGTCTTGTTTTTCTCTGTGCGGTCTGGAGAGTCTGCATATTTATCCTGTAGGAGTGTTCAGTTAGGACTTCTTGTATCCCCTGCAAAAATGTGTCTTCAGTCATAGTAGAAATCTGAATATTCTTCCCAGCTCCTCTTACTTCAACTCTAAGCAGATTATCATGCTGGTCGAAAATCAAAGGAAGACCCAGTGTAGGAACTCCATGATAAATTGCCTCCCGAACACCATTTGTTCTCCCGTGAGCCACAAACAATTCAATCTCAGGATGTCCTAGAAGGTCATTCTGTGGCATCCAGTCTACCACTAAAGTGTTGTTTCCCAGATTGGCTGGCCTGACGCCTTTATACCTCCAAATTATTTTTTGAGGTGATTTAGCAAAAGCTCCAGCTTTTATTTCAGCTAAATCATGGGGTAAATATCCAATTAAAGTTCTCAGAGACATTATGATAATTCCATAATCTCCAGAGCTCTGTAAATACTCCTCCAAGTCCTGAGGCAGGGGTTTTGCACTGGAACCCTCCCAAATAACATTTGGCATAGTGGGACAGGGAAACTCAAACACAAAGTCCACTCTCACGAGCCACAGATCTGCAGTTTGAAACATGGATAAACAGTCTAAATCTGATCCAAAGTACTTTGTAAATGATGCTTCATAATATGGGAAAACATGCCGCATAATTTGGTATTCATTCAAAGCAAATATCATTACATTTAGGACTGAATAAAAGACATTTTATCAGACATCTCTGTACCAGTTATTGGAATATATAAGAGGTTCGACTGGAAAGTGGGCTTCACCCTTACTGGTCCATATCACATTAAAAACTAGAGGTAGTTTGAGGTAATGACCAAGTATGACGCCCATTGCTAAAGCAGGTTCTGTAAGCACAAGGTCATAGTTGGCATCTTGCATGGACTGTATCATCACTTTGGACTCAAAAATCTTTTCAAGCCTTTGACCGATTTTATGTGGAACTCTGAGACCTTCTGTGCTTGTTCCATTTCCAGTTTGATACGAGTCCAAACAGACTTCCCCTCCCTTTGGATTTTCAGCAGTTCAGTTCACAAATAATTTTATAAAATCATTTAATCAAATTGCTTGGGAGCCTTTTTGTGTAGACTTCGGATGTTTCCCCTCATGCATGAGTGCACTTTTCCCAGATTCCACCTCTACAGTTAAAAGAACTGAATGTTACATTATCTGGCCACTAAGCTGTCCTTTGGTTAAAGTACAACCATGAGTAGTATGGTTCAAGGTTTAGAAAACAGATGGGCTAGTGAATAGCACCACCTACTGGACATTCAATACATCAGCAACTTCTTTGAACCAGAGTATTTCAGCAGTAAATTCAATGTCACAATTTATTTAAAAAAAAAAAAAAAGCCTCCAGTCATTTGTGCAACAGCTTAAACATTTTGAGTCAGATGGCCAAGCTAGAAACACATTATTGAAAGGGTCCATACACTAATCAGGCATAATATTATGACCAAATGCCTAATACTTTGAAAACCTGAAGGTGTTTTGTGATGTTTTGCACAAAGCAGTTACTAGCTGTAAGGTGAATTGTGCTGTCTCAGTGTTTTAGATTTGTCCCAATTCAGGCATGCACATTTAGCTTGGATCTTGTAAATTTGGAGACCAAGTCAAAATCACAAGCTCATTGTGTTGCTCCTTTGACCCTTCCTGAATCACATGATGTGTTGCAGCACACATTATTCTGCTGAAAGAGACCACAGCCATCAGAAAATACCTTTGGACTGTGCCTGTGTCTGTGTGTGTGCCTGTGTCAACAAACTGCAATGCAATGTGTATTCTAACACTTTTCTATGAGTCCTTTGAAAATATTATAAATAATAAATCACATATTTTTAGTAAAAAGATTAAATTACAGTGAGATAAATGAGGAAATCTATTAAAGTATCAGATTTTGCTCCGCTGAAAAATCGAACAAGAGATTCTTGTTAAGGTTTATGGATTTAATATCTAATAAACTATTGCATTCTACAAATATGAATATTTTCAGTTTAAGTATTTTTATTGCTAAAATAAACTAAAGCAAACCATTAGCATTCCTGAAGATTTATTTATTTTCCTGTAAACCTAGACTGATGTAACATCTCTCTGTCCTTCAGGTAAAGAAATTATTCAGAATAAGTTTACAGGTATTATTTAGGTTTAGTGGTGAGACTTAAGTTGACTTATCTTAAAAGCTCACTTGGTCTGTTTCATATGACAGCTGAAAAGGACCCAGTAGAACCAACAGTGAGTTGACGTAATGTTACATGTGATCAGTGCTCCAGTCAATCAGATTTCACTTTTCTTTTACAACATAATTTGAAGCAGTGCCACAATAACCAAGACAAAACTAAAAACATTAGAGCAAAAATTGCTATTAAAAATAAAATGACATCAACAGAGTAATAGGTATACCAGGGCAGCCTGTAAGACTCTGTTCTGAGGTGAGCAGCACCTTTGTGCCTCATGACAAACTCAATCCAGAAGATGGCTCGATCCATTGGCCTTATCTGCTGATCTCTGTGTAGACGGGAGAGTCTCTGCATGTTCATCCTGTAAGATGACTCATCCAAGACTTCCTGAATAGTTTCCTGAAATATTTTCTCATTTATATCAGACACATCCAAAATCTTTGCAACTCCTTTAGCTCTGAGTCTGGAGAGATTGTCGGCTTGATCGAATACAAAGGGAATGCCCACCATTGGAACCCCATGAAAGATAGCCTCATAAATTCCATTTGTTCCTCCATGACTTACAAAAAGTTTGATTTTCGGGTGGCCTAGGAGGTCGTTCTGAGGTATCCAGTCGATAATTAAAGTGTTGTTTCCTAAAGAGGGAGGTTTGGCACCCTTATATCTCCAGATAACTTTCTGGGGTAAGTTAGCAAAACCAGCAGCAATTTCATCTGCCAGGTCATTTGGAAGCTCTCCAATTAAAGTTCCCAGAGACATGATGATGACTCCGTGCTCTCCAGAATTTTGCACAAACTTTTCCAGGTGTTCAGGAAGTGGTCTTGCAGGTTTACACTGGAACCCTCCCATATAGACAACATTTGGCATGGTGGGACGAGGGAACTCAAACACAAAGTCCACTCTCATGAGCCACAGATCTGCAGCTTGAAACAGAGAAAAGTAGTCCACATCTGGGCCAAAGTAGTGCTTAGCTAAAGGAGAGTAATGTGGTGCGACCACCTGCTTGTACAGATGCATCCTCGTGTGATAGAAAATCATGTTTTTCACCCTTTCAAAGAATGTCATTTTATCTGTAAGCTCTGATGGTGGAAGTGGGACGTAGGAAAGAGGAGAAGGTGCAACAGCAAAATGTGCTTCACCGTGAACAGTCCAGCGAGCGTTGAACACTAACGGTACGCCAAGGTAATGAGCCAAAAACACACCTCCCCCATTTGCAGGGTCAGTCAAAACTACATCATACTTGGCTTCCTGGAGGATCTTCATTAACTCTTTATTTTCAAATATGTGCACAATCACCTCGCAGATCTTTCTGTGTAATTCAAAGAACTTGTCTTTCAACTCCATGTCCAAAGCGAAACGGGTCCATACGGACCCATTGCTTCTTTTAATTC